AGTTCATATTTCATCAAGAAGTTCATTGTAGCTGAAAATTCACTGCTTTAGTCTCCTAGCTTGCCACCACTTTTGTAGCTATTTTTTCCAGCAATCTTTCTTTTTGTGACCTAGATACGTTTCTGAATGTGCGGCACACTAGACTGCAAGGTGCTATCAGATCAGGCAGTGCTTGCTAGCAGTTCCTCTTTATAATAAATAGTTATGCCACTAGTCAATAATCTGTCAACAATATGGTTGACGTATGTTGCTGGTTGCTAATTTTTTTTAATGTTTTTATGTTTTATGGCGATATGACTAACTGAAAGTATTTTTCATGTTTCATATTTCTGACTTGGCAGTATTCCTGTCAGCCAAACTGATGGATTTGGGGCTGCTGTTCCAAAATTCATTTTAATTTTTAGCAGCTATTCTTGCCTGAGGTTAACTGATAAAGCTAAATGAGGGAGGGATTACTTTTCAAGGCTCAGGCTGGTATCTCTTCTTCCTTGCTACTGGCTTTTGCTGACCACAGCAACACATCAAGGTTCAATTATTTAGCCTTTGGAAATCTCTGATGACTGATTATGGCCTCATTTATATTACCTTAATGTACAGTTCAATAATTTCATCCATTTTCTATCCTCTGTGTTTGAAAGCCGTTTTCATAAGCTTGTAGTTGGGTATGTAAACCTTCTCTGTATTGTAATATTAATGTTCTTATTGTTACAGTTCAGATAAAAAAAAAGTTTGGAAACATTTTAGTGTAGAGGGACATTATAATGTCCTTGCAATGCCCTCCTTACAACTTACCAAGTCTGAATTAACTGACTGCTCATTATTACATTATTGAGCAGTAATTTGGCTGCATTTAACTTTTTCCAGAGCATTTGTGCTACTTGTGTATTATACTTCATAATCATGTGCATAATATTTGTTGATATAAAGGCAACTAAGAGTGCTACGTTGATAAGCACAGTTCATGCAGACCTCGTGTTCAAATAAGGCCTATACATCAGAAGTTAACCTTCTCAGTACATGTTAACTAGAAGTCTTTATAGTCACTTTAATTGGTTGTTTTTGTTGAGGTGTTGATATGAGTCAAAAGAAAACAAGCATATTTTAGACCTGATGCCAAGAATTACGTACAATTTTGTGATTTATAGTACTCTGGAAAAAAAGCTTAAGATAATCTAGTTACTGCTTAATAAAGTAGCAATGGACAGCTAGTTAAGTTGTAGTTATTGGCTTGATAAGGCTTAATGAGGGATAGGAATCAACACCTAAAATGTTGTGCAAAAGATTAGCATGTTTAATACGCAAATAAAACAAATCCCCTGGGAAAAATGTTTAATTCAGCCATTAGTAGCCAGTAAATGACTGGCTTCATAAGTCTTAAAAAGGGCATTGTAAGAGCATTATAATGTCCCCTATACAGAAGTGTTGCCAGTTGTTTTAGTTGGATTTAGTTAATGTAGTTAGGTTATTTTTGATTCCTAGGTAGCTGTGCACATGCAAACAAACAATTATTTTACAGTATAAATTAACAGCAAGATAATAGGTAAACAAAGCATAAAAACTCATTTTTAAGAATGAAGAAGCATTTTTTGCAAGATCTAAAAGAGGTTGTCTATGGCAATTTAAGCACTACGATAAAAGCTTTATTTCCACATTTTGCCCTTTGAACCTTTCTCTAAATTCCCGCATGAACCACCACTGAAACTGACCTGAGTATCAGCCAAAATTAGACTTGCCATCTTTGGACTACACTCTTAAAAATAAAGGTGCCAAATTGAGTTCTTTTGAGTGATCCCACAGAAGAACCACTTTTGGTTAACCCTTTAAATGACCAGGGCTCAGTGATGGGCCCAAAGTTTTATTACACACTTCTATAATCTAAAAATAGCTCAACCAGTTTGCATTGAAGCCCCTGCAGCTACTGAATAATAATCCTCAGTATGTAATAAGCCTGGGATTATTAGAGGGTTAACTAAAGAACAACGGTCCCATAAAGAACCACTAATTTAAACAAGATGTGTGAATGTGAAGTACCTGTTTAAAGAACCTCCACATAAGATTCTATACTAAACCATACATACAAGTCAAGAACCACAGAAAAATCTATATTTTTTGAGAGTGTAGAAGACTGTAGCATTAGCCAGAGATCCAGCTCGCTTCTTAAGAGTTTTTTAGGTCTTGCATGTACAGTGCATTCAGTGAAAACTAGTCACTGTAAACATCTACATCAGTGCTAATATTCTGACTGAGTGAGCATTCTGCTCATCCACTAAATGTAAGTTCTCTATAGTTTATTGGAAGTCAACAGAAATGGAGAAGGTTAAAAGGAAAGAATATCTACCATCACAGGCGATCTGCACGGATAAAAATATTATAGCTGACTCTATAGCCCCAGGGCAGTTGGGCATTGCTCCTTCAAAATGATTCTTTAAACAGTTTGTGTATCTTTCAAAGGCAAAAAAAAGAACAGTAAAAAAGCAATTGCTGTTCGGATGTCTCAAGGTCGTTATTTATAAAACAACAAATCGATAAGTTGTCTTGTGTAATCATTTATCCCATCATAAGAATAAGACTTAGTTTCTGCAGAATGTTTCAGGGCATTGACTTTAGACTCATAAGTATTTTCTCCACCCACACAGAGAGAGATCATCCAGTCTCCAGTCTCCACACACAAATACAGAATGCATCTAGTTTCCACACACATACACGCAGACAGCACGCAACATCTAGCCTCCAAAGCCCCCGATTTGCCTCACAAATAGACCGATGGAGGATTTTTGAGCACAAAAGCTGAAAAACCTAATGGAGGATTAGTGGAGATGACTGGAATGGAGCCCAGGCAGGCATAGATCATGAAAATACAATACATTAGACAGTTTACACGGGAAACCAAATCGTTGAGAAGTTAATAAACTGTTCTCAGAACCACAAAAGAAGAGAGAAGAGATTGAAACCGTAAGTGTCCATGCCTTCATACCATGTATGGCCTGTAGTGCAATACCAAGGGAATACATGATGAACTGAGCGGATGAATGAGGAGGGAAAGAAAAGGTGAGCTTAAGTAGCATGTGTAACAAAGGAAACAAAAGCACACTAATTATCAGTCCAACTCTCCGAGAAAAAACCCAGACGCGATTCACACCTCTGTCGTCTGTTTTTCAGAGGGCCGCTAATTGCACTGTCAGGTGGTTCAGTTCCTTGATAAGACACACACACACACACACACACACACACAGTGCTTCACATATACAAGCATGCATACACACACACACCTACACGCTGCTCTGTGGCAGAAATGCATGACGTCAGCTGTTTTCTTGTGCTGCTGAGCAAATATGTGCCACATTATTCAAAATTAAAAGAACAAAGACATGTCTGATCCAACAACGATGTTTGAGAGTTTAATATCTTCCTCTCCTCCTGCAGTTTCAGTGTGCCAACAGTGCCCCCTACCATGCCTCCATGGTACTGCACAGAAAGAAACTCAGTACATACTGCAGATCCGGTGTGTGAGACTCCTAGTCTTGGAATAAAGCAACAGTGAATGGGTTTTGAATGGGCTTACTTATTACCCTACACAGATATACAATGAGGTGTAGATATATTAATGAGCAGGTGTGCAAATGTCTGGTGCAACTATGTTGCATTAATGCAAGGATATATGTAAAAAAGGTTCTTTCCAGTGATAGAAGAACTGCTTTTGGAAGAATCTTTCAATGGATGGTTCATCCTTAAACCAAACTTGATCTTTTTTTACCTTGATCTGTTTTACCTGTTACTTCATGTATTTGGCCAAATTAAGCACGATTCATAATACTGTAACATTTGAAAAACAAAATTCTTGTTTTCTAGCAACAATTTTATCAAATTTTAGTGAGATTTGCCCGCCTCTAAAATATCTTCTGGGTTGTGATTATGTCATTGTGCACCATCAGACAGGGAAGAATAATATTAACCGGTGATATCATGTTTCACCTCACCCTTCCATCACCCCCACCTATCATTGAGAGAAAACCTTCAGCTAGCTCAGAAACCCTCTCTGATACTGTGTTTCACTCCAAAATATATCACAGTGCAGAATAGTGTGTGTGCTCCTGCTCTGTGGCAGGAAAAGAGAAGAAAATGCTGACCGGTTAACATCGCTGGACAAAGACATCTTTTAATGAACTGACTGTCTCATCATAAGTGTAAGACACCATCTAGTACTGTCAATATCTTCAGTTATTTGTGTGCTTCAATGACCACAAGTCAACAAGATGCTTTATGATTTTCGAGTCAAATGGACTTTTTAGTTTTCATCTGAAAGCTTTATTCAAGGCATCACTCCAAAGAACCTTTATTAACCCTTTCTTTTTTAGAGTGAATGTGTATACAGAAATATACAGAAACAATAGACTCATTATGTTGTATAATCTACACCAATTAGGAGAGCTAGTTGACAAACTATCTCAGGATTAAAGAAGCAGAATCAGGATTATATAAACCCCTTAAATGGCCAGGACCCCCAGTAGGGCCAAAGTTTTACTACACACCTCTGTAACCATGGCTGTAACTAGACTGTAACCTAAAAATAACTCAGCCAGTTTGCATTGTAGCCCATATATATAGGATAATGTTTCTATTATTGTGGATACAAATTTTGAAATCTACCAATGCCTGATCCATTTGTTTAAGTGACTTTGGCTAGAGTGTTATAATGAGTGAAGAAACACGGAAGACATTAATGTCCAATGTTTGCTGGATTGCATTATTAGAAGTTGGCCACTGATTTACAATCAGCACCTTTATTCCCTTTTAGGTGACTAAGGTCAAGATTTAAATAATGAAGTGTAAAATGTAAATCTCTAGCCATATCTGTGCATTATGAGTTTATTTGGTGCAATGCTTTTCTGTACCTGCCACAAACACACCTCACCTCTCCTGTTTGGGCCTGTTTTAGCCTGTCATGGATATTGTCCTGACAGAGAAGTGCGTGAAGTGGTTCAAGTGCCAGTAACAGGTGTTGGGGAGAGAGAGAGGGAGGTCAGTGTGTCTTAGCCTGGGCCAGTCTCAACCACCCAGTACACTGGACTGAGGAACAGCAGGTAAGCAACATCTACACGCTTTAATATCCTTCAGTCATTAACGTCACTGATTTTTATGGTAATGAATACTGAAATGTAAAAGTTAAATGAGTTTATTTACAGTTGTCATAACAATCTTAACTGTAATGTGCTTTGACGTCACAAGATTTAATTGCAAGAAATTTTGGTCCACTTTTTAGGAAATGTTGATACAGTGTAAAGGGCAGCTTCCGTTTTAAATGGTGTTAGAAAATAAATAAGGGAAAATGGAATCGGCAAGGATGATAAAAAGGATGATACATTTCAATTTTCATGAAACATTGAAAACACATAAACAATAAAAAAAAATCTAGCCTTTTATGACTGTGAGGTGTGGGTTATTTATATGAACTTTTAGAAAATGTGGTGTAAATACATTAGAGAAATGCTGAAACTTGCCTGTCTTGTGTCAAAATGTCCTTTTTTCATTTTTCTTTTTGTTGTTACATTATGGATCGATGTCTGATTCTCTTGGCTGTACATAGTTAGTGGAGGCGAAGTCTGGAGGTTCCAAACCCCCTGAAGATGTATGGGTTGTATCTGGAAGCAGTGAATGACTACATTAATGAGTCCTACGGGGAGGACGTTTGGAGGCTGATCGAGGCCCGGGCAGAGATCCCTCACCTCAAGTTTGTGCGCCACCAGATGTACAAGTAAGACTCCTCTTTATGAGTCAGCTTCATGGAATGAGCTTAGTTGTAGATGAACTCAGAATGGTGAATAGCGACTGTAAATTTCCAAGAACATGCTTAATCTGAATTCAGGAAACTGTCTGTCTGTGCTTAGTAGTAGTCTATAAGCATACAATAGCTATAAATTTCAAGTCTAAGTTTTGTCTTAGCTCTGTAACACCCAGTGAGCAACAATAGACTGTTACAAATGTAAATATCTGTTCCTACCTACACAATTAAGCTCACTGTATGCACTCTGCATAACTACACGTGTTAAAACTGTAACATTTCGATTTCTTTTTCTAGTGACAATCTGATCCTTCGTCTGGCTAAAGCAGCTGGAGAGGTTCTTGGAAAGACGCATGATGAACTGATGTACGCTTTTGGGGTCTATATGGTCAAGCGAATAGGAAACTATGGCTATGAGCGAATTCTCAAGGTGACTGTAAAACATATTAGCTAAGCATTCAAATCAGAACTTCTTTAACCCTTAATCTCTAGACTTTTTATTCAGTTATATTAATCTTAAGGCTTGTCATTCATTTTAACTACACTGTAAACCCACATAACTCAAAAATATTAAGGAAACTGATTTACCTCAATTCTTTCAAGTTTATACAATCAAAAGTCAGAAGTTTGTAAAACATACAGGTTTCGGGAGATTCAAATGGTTTTGTGCACTTGTACTAATCTTATCAGATGCTGTTTAGAGGCTGCTCACAATCTTTATGCTAGTGCCACAGGCTGATCTGATGAATACAAAATACCATCACAGTTAATACAACATAGATCTGTAAAACACATCCAACACAAACTAGCTTTTAGCATGAGAATAACATAACCTCAAATTAACTTTAACTGAAAAATGACCTGACTAAAAAAAGAAAGAAAAATAAGAGCTTACCAACAAGACCACTAAGAATGCTGGGAAGCGCCACTTACTCTACTAAACCAAATATCTACTAAATCAGGAGTTACTTGCATCCTGAATTTGAAAAGAAGGAAACTGTTAAAAACACTCAATATGTTTTGTTTACTTTAGTGTACATATTGGGTTTGTTTTCAGTTTTTTACTCAATTAATTTATTTAATGAATTTCAGCTTTGGAGTTTGCACTGTACTATTATTGTTATTTACTAATATGAATTATGCATTAACCTCAGTGAAACTACTGCATAAGATATGTAGCTATGAGAGCAAGGAAAGGAAGTTTAGACTTGGTGGCATGGTCTTTAAGGGGTTTTAACAGGTTAATACATGCACAACACATGTAAACACAAATGCTTTCTGTCAGATTCACATACTCTGATCATTACACCCTTTCAAGTTTGGGCTATCTGTGATTCCTCAGCCTCCTATTCCTGTGTCTCTGTGCATGTCAGGTGCTGGGGCGTAATGTGCGCGACTTCATCAATGAGTTGGATAACCTGCACGAGTATTTCCGCTTCTCCTTCCCCAAAGTGCAGCCGCCCAGTTTCTGTGTGGAAGAGGAGTGTGAGACCAGCTTGACGCTGCACTACCGCTCCACCAGGAAGGGATTTACTCAGTTTGTCAAAGGTATCCCTCACACAGCCACTGACTGATGGTGGGCACCAGTAACAATGTCTATCGTTTATGAGGTTTGCTCTGAAATAAAAGTGTATATGGAATTGACAGTGCACCAAAATGTCAAAATGACACTGTATCACTTTCGAGGCGATTTAAAATGAATTTGCTGATAATCCTGTTGTCAATATATTGGCCATATACAGAGCCATCAAAGGGGGTTTGGAAAGAGTTAACCTCTTTACCACGATTAGAACAACAAGTGGTGTCTCAGTTACATCCTGTCCCTGAGAAAAACTTTTGCACAAAATAAGTTCCTGTTTAAAAATGGTGTCTGTAAACATCAAAGTGTTTTTGCTGCATCATTTGTACTATTACACTGAATTTCTGTAGTGACTGCTCTGCAGGGCAACTCTCTCAAGTGGGCCGACAATTTTACAACACAGACATTGAAGTGGAGATCCTGTCTAAAGAGGAGACAGAGAAAATGACATACGTGGTAAGTGACCTAAGAAAGACAAGTTTAAATTGAGACAAAGCTCCAGAACTTAAATTATGTTTTAAATGAACATGTAGAAGTTGTACAGTAGACAATACATTTAAAGTCCCACAGTGATGTAAACATATTTAGAACATTCCAACTCCTGTACTTCTGTAGGTATATAAGATGAACTTCGACAATGCTGCGTTTAAGCACCGGATGCCCCAGCAGAAGACAGCTCCTGGTTATGAGAAGCTCCCTATGAAGAGGGGTATCTTCTTTGACATGTTCCCCTTTAGTGTGATCTTCCGCAGAGACATGACCATGTATCGCATCGGAGATGGCCTGAAGGAAGTGTTCTCTGATCTGCAAGGCAAAAAGGTCAACGAGGAATTCACCCTGGTGCGGCCCATGCTGGAGTTTAGTTGGGATAATGTAAGTGTCATGCCAGGGGCACGTGTATTTCGGTTGAAAGCATGCACTCTTTTAAAAAGGGGTTATTCAATGTCAAGATTCAAATATCTTCAGTGTCGGAACAAAATCTCAAATCTCCAAAAAGGTAGCTTTTCAAACAATGTAAAATTCATTTGCAGAATTATGTTAAAAATCATGTTAAAAAATGAAAAAACAGCAAAAGTGGAGATATCAAGGTCTTGTCCCACCAGTGATGATATAGTACTTAAAAAAAAGAAAAAAAAGAAGTCAAATAATCTTTTTGGTGCAGTATAGAATTATTTTTGCTAAGAATGTAGACTCTCTATACTTGTACACTGTTAGAAATAAAGGTACTGTGCAGGTACATTTTTGTTTATCAAGGTACAAACAGTGTAAATGTTCCCTCAAAGGTTCAACAGTGGTTTTAAGGTCCAATTGTGAACCTTAAATACATTTTTCCCAGGTGAAAAGTGCATAATTGTACCTTTTCATGACCTAATGTTTTAAAAGAACAATAAAATAAAAAGCTTGGAGACGAGACGGGGTGTGTGGAGTTTATACAACTTAGAAAATATCATTTCAATGGATTATGGTACAATTATGTTACCTGACTAAAAGTACTGAGATGGATCCTTGAGGGTACCACCCAAGTGACAAGAGGGGTACAGCCCCAGTGACAATTTCATACCTTTTCATTCTGAGAGTGTAGATATAGATGCAAGGGGCTCAATAGTGGTGGTGTCATCTTTGTCCATTCAGAACATTCAAAGCAAGAATATTCTGAACAGAAACTGTGTGTAGATTCAATACAAGAAATAACAAGAACTATAAAACAATAAGAGGAGCCTTCAGATGAAAGGAGCAGAGGAAAAGTCTGAGCATGCAAAGCATTCCTATTGCTGCTGGTACACAAAATACACCAGCAGGCAGAAATGTACCTGTATCTTCACTGAGCAGCAAAACATTCAATGCTATCTGCTCCCTCTCAGATCTACACTCACCTCAACAATGTGTTTGAGTTGCTGTCAAAAGCTGTGGTAGAGAGCAAGCAAAAGGTCAACATCCCCAAACTAAGCAAAGAAGAGCCAGAGGAGAAGGAGGAGAGCGAGAAGCCAAAAAAGGAAGAAAGAGGTATACACATTGCCCTCACTTTGAAATCTGCTGGCAGAGTGTAGTATGGTGAATATTTCAGCAAGAACAAGAACAAGTACATTTCCACAGTACATTTCAAGTTCTTTAAACTAGTCTACAAGACATCTATACATCTAATAGATGCAAAAATAGACATCTATTTTTCTTGTCACTTTTTACTGTGTCTATGTCTATTTGCTTTTATTCTGATGGTATATGGTGATTTTACAAGCAGAAACACACGTTTTGCCAAGATAAAAGGTTTAATATAATGTGCTTAGCTGCCTAAGACTTTTGCCCAGTACTGTTATATATAACAGAATCCCCTCAGTGAAATGTTACCTTCATTTACAGAATAAGTTTTGGTTATGCAAGCAGCTTTTCTTTTGCTTCCTCTATCAGACATAAAGGTAATGGAGGAGATGAAAGGAGCAGATCAGGAGTACAGCAGTACGCTAACCCAGTACAACAGCTCTGCTAACTCTGGAGGAGAGGACATTGAACTGCTTGCCTTCCAGACAGTCACTGGTTAGATACCTTTTACTGTACCTCTATTAACCATCATGAAGCTGCATATTAATATTGTCACATTGTTAGCAGAATGGAAGATAACTTTCCAACACATTAGTGAATTAAAGAAGAGTATTATACATTATATTGACAGTCATAAAACTGAGTTAAGAATTACAACCTCAACCAGGATTTCAGAAGGTTGTTTAAAGCATTTTTGTTGAAGGTTAATAGGCTTACAATGACTGTCTCGGAGTTATGTGACCAACCAAGGCTTTCTTCTCCATTGTTTAGGTAAATGCAGTGAAACCATATTTGAGGACATGCGGGAGCCACCCAAGAAGCCTCTCCATCTGAAGGGCCAGATGAAATATGTTCCTCAGTGGGATTCCCTAATCTTCCTCGGCACACCCATGTAAGCTTGTATTGCTTTAACAATGCTTGCAGAAGTATGTCATGAAGTGTTTCTCTTTTATTTCATACAAATGTTCACCTCAAAGCATATAGACTGCCAACACCACTGCACTGATGCTTTAACTTGATTTAGCATTTAGCAATTGTGTTTTAACTGTCTGGAACTGTAAAGCTAAAGCTAAACATGATACTATGAAAACGCCCTGCTTAACACAAACAATGCTAGAGATGACTTCCTCTGCACATAACTCTGTCCAATTCCCTTTTCAGTATTGAGACAGTGGAGGACATGATTAAAATGGGTGTTTACGTCAATGACCTCAACCTGCATGACTCCAGCAGAGAGCTCATTCTGGCAGGAACTCAGCAATCAGCCGAGCTGCAGCTGGCCCTTGATCAGGTACCAACACTTTGTTCACATAAGCAATGGGGCAAAACTCAAATTAATTCCTCTGAATGCACATGTGACTATATATAGATAGCAAATGGCCATCACATCAAGATACTGTAGCTGTAGAATTTCAAGCATGTGGTCAGATATTACAAGACAATATTGCATACAGTAGTTAAGCAGATGATTGGTAATATACTTGTCTCTCACCAAATGATTACAGCCTGATAGACATACTGTGTCAGTGTATGGAGCACATACATACATACATACATACATACATACATAAATAAATAAATAAATAAATAAATAAATAAATAAATAATGGAATTTTACAGAGATTATTTTATTTGACAGCAATGAGGACCAGTTCACCTCAGGGGAAGAATTAAAATACACTGAAAAAGAGCACTTAAGATGAGAAATATGAAGAAAATATATTAAATCAACAATTTTTTTTCTTTCAGTTTGTTTACTTTTGCAAGAGTTGAGTTGTAATATATTTTATTAACGTGAAACCAATGCATACATTTGAATCAAGTAAAGCAGTGCACTTTTTTATAGAATATGGGCCTTTTAAAAATCTTTACACTGGTTTCCTTGTAAGTCTCTAGGCAGGTACAGGTCAGCTTGTAGTGCCTAGGATCCGAACCAATCACAGTAAAGCAGTAATTAGCCTTTATGCTACACAAATATGGAAATGACTCCCAGAAGATCTTCTATATGCCCCAAATTTAGCTATTTTTAAATCCTTGAGCTCATATAATTTGCAATTTGTTACTGCAGCATTTTTTCTCTCCTCTTTGTAGTGTAGTATTTTTTCTTTTAGTCTATAATCTTAAATTTGAATATATTTTCATTTAAATCTATTTTATGTATTAATTTGTATTCGATTATTTCTTTTTATCGTCTTTTCTGATTATGAAAAGCACCTTGAAATTCCTCTGTGTATATGTTCTATAGTGCAGAAAGTGAAACTATGTATTATGGATACAGAGAACATAAAAAACTACTGAGTGTCTAACTAAGATTATACTTTATGCTGCTGTCACCTGCTGTAAAGGAGTGTTTGTGGTATCTGTACAGGAGCAGCAGAAATATGCCCAACTGCAAGAGATCATTAAAAAGCTGGATGAGGAGAAGAAGAGAGGTGACTCGCTGCTGTATGCCATGATACCAAAAGCTGTAGCTGACAGACTGCGCAAAGGCATCACAGCCCTCGAGACCTGTCAGGTACACAAACATACAAAACACACAGACATAAAACACATATAATACTGCTGCAGCTCAATTAGTTGGGTGCTTTTACATGATTTAACTGGCTATTGGCTCTTGCCAGGTTATTGTTGCAGAAATTCCTCATTAGCTGACTTTCTTAAAGAAAAAATGTTCTTGTTCACTAAAATTCAGCTGCTTTTTTGTAGAGTCTTACCCTGTTGTTCTATTATCCAGGTGTTCCCGGATGTGACCATCTTGTTCAGCGATGTAGTGAAGTTTAATGAGATCTGCATCCACATCACACCTATGCAGGTGGTGGACATGCTCAATGAGATCTACATAGTTTTCGACACCCTCAGTGAGAAGCACAATGTCTACAAGGTAATATTAGCTACAAAAAAAAAGATGCCATAAGAACATGGATTTCTAACCTCCTCATTGTTGGTGCCCAATTAAAAGTTTCTGCTAGGCTTCAGAGAGAAAGTAGCTAATCACAAAAGCATGGTCTGATATTCTTGACCACATAATGCATGAAATCATGCACAATGCTAATGAATAGAGTATTTAAAAATAAAGTTGATATTTTCTCAGACAGCAAAACATCAGTGTAGTGCAAATTCACAGTAATTATTGTAAAAGTCTGATTGGCTGATTGGAGTCATTGGCTTGCAATGCCAGCTCAAGTTTTAGTTTATGACAGTTAGCAGGTAAACGTGATATCAATTGTTCTCAGGTGGAGACCATAAGAGATGCCTACATGGTGGTAGCTGGAGTGCCCAATAAGACCACGTTTCATGCCCACCATATCTGTGACATGGCTCTAGACATGTTGAGCTCCATCGACCACCTCAAAGACCCCTCCACTGGGGACAACATTCAGATCCGCGTCGGTAGGTGTACAGTGACCACTGAGATCTACAGTGCCCAGTATTTCAGAACAAAAGCTCTCATACCTGACAATTTACACTGTTTGTATTATTTACTCTGCTGCCAGACATTTAGCACAGATCACATTCATTTCATAGTCACTTAACTGGCCTCTTTCACGTTCATATTCAAAAAAGTCAATCGCCACAACAATTTACAAATACTTTAAAGTCATTTCTGAACATGAACAGTGAGAGGGTGATATGTGCACTTGTTGTGCAATTCCCAGGAATCCATTCTGGCATGGTGGTAGCAGGGGTGGTGGGACTGAAGATGCCACGCTACTGTCTGTTCGGGGACACGGTGAACACTGCTTCTCGCATGGAGTCAAACGGAGTGGTAAGGGATGACCTAACTGTGCTGCCTGTGTAATAACCATTTCCTCATTTATAAATAATGAGGCAACCCAGAAGGAGGCAATGTGGCTGGTCCCAGGACAAGCAGAGGATTAAGAATGTTAATCACGTTAATTTGAATTGGAAGTTAATTATGGATGTCCTGTTTATCAGTGTCTTTCTGTGTGTTTAGGGCATGCAAATCCACATTAGCCAGACCACCAAGGACCACTTGGAGCATGAACCATACATCATTGAAGAAAGGGGCAAGATTTTTGTAAAGGTACATATTACTCTCCACTGACATCATCCAGTCTGCCGAGCATACAGTGGCATCGTAATGTGTGTCTGTGGCCTGCAGACAGAGCAACAAAGGGACAGTTTTTGTGTTTTGTTTTTGCGTGATGTGAGTTCTTTGACAAACAAAGGAATTAAGAAATGGCTCTTCTAATTGGCTCTTTTTAAGCATGTACAATTACTTGATTAAATATGAAAAAAATGTTTTCTGTTTAAGGGTAAAGGCTACATGAAAACTTACTGGCTGAAAGGGAAGAAGGACTTGTCCTTTAAGACTCCAGCTGAGCTTCGGTACAGCAGTGAACAGAAAGACTCTGAAGACAGAAGCTCCAATGAGTGAGTAGAAGATTTAGGAAAAAGACAACAATATAAAATAGAACAGAGCAGAATAGAGTCATGGCTATATCAAAATTCAAATATGTTAATATATATTTACATATATCACACGTAAGATGGTTCTTCAAGGGTTCTTTAGTAAAGGCAATGAATGGTATATATATTTAGCCTGATTTTGGAATATATATATATATATATATATATATATATATATATATATATATATATATATATATATATATCAGGCTAAATAAACTTTTAATTTACACGGACTATTGATTTTATATAGTTCCTCTTCACTTGCTACACGCAGCTATTATTATGTCACTAACAATGACTGTGGTTGTTTCTCTTCTCTTTTCTTCTCACTTTTTGCAGTTCCACTTGTACCAACACCAAGCGCTCTAACTCCAATCTAAACATCCCCAATGAGGAGCAGGCAGAAGGCAAGCCCACCCCAGCAGACCTGCCCCCTGACACACTACCACCGCTGGAGGGCACTACGGACGCAAGCACAGTCACTAATGAGCCCCAGGACAAGGAGAAGGTCAAAAAGACAAAGAACAACAAAGGAGGCAAGGCAGAGAATTCCTCTGGTAATGCACAGGAAAGCAGTCCCCCTGCTGGTAGCCAAAAGAAGACAAGCCCAGTGCTCAATAATAAAAAGCACAGCTTCAGAAACCAGTACGCACGGTTACCGGCCAACCTGCCCATGCGCAGTACGGCCTGCACTCTGCTCTGAGAAGCCAGCAAAGAGTCATCATATAGTCTAACACAGAATGAACTTCTAAAACCCCTGCTTCACTGACAGAATGAATCTAGAACCAGCTTCTAGAGTTCTCAGACAACCTTACAGAAAATAAACCGAATTCCAGAACCTGAAGAGTAAATTTCACCATACATGGATAATAAGTTTCACAGATTTACACTCCATTTATCACCTGCTGACATTTAGAGGCATCAGTACTGATACCACAGCAGTGTTTTAACCCGATATACTTACCAAAAGCACCTGGCAGAGCTGAGTGGTTTACTGTTGGTGTGCTAGTTTCCATGACATAACTGGCTCATGAAATCTCTTTTCCGTGTTTAGTATCCTTTTCCTGGAAAACTTGCACATTGGCACCTTTTATAACTGGAGAGATTCTGTGGTGTTTCAGACATGTAAATGATTCCATAAAATAAAGAACAGACAGTACAATACACAAAAGTAGTAGTTAAAAAACCAAACAACAACATTCAAATGTTACAATCTACTCATAAACCATGGCTCAAAAGATGCCTTTGTGCTGCATGAACATACTAAATGCTATAATATAGAGAACCATATGCGTATGCTGCTGTTATCAGGGGAAGAGAGGTGCTGTCCTTTAGCCTAAGTATCAAACATTTAGGGTCAGGCTTTCCAGTTTGACCGATAATGTAAGAACTATATACGTATAAAGTTTGACTCTGTACTGACTATATTAGCTTATTTGTACAGTTACATTTTTGATGCCTATTAAATCAGTATAGCACATGATAGCTTGTGGTAAATCTGCATTGAATCTGTATTGTATTTGTTTTGTCATTGTAATGTTGGAGATGTGTGGATAAGTTGTGACTGTTTCACTTTTATGTAAGTATATTTATGGAGCACTATTGTGTTTTTTTTTTTTACATCAATAGAACATTTTAGGCCTTTTGTTCTTTGAAAAGAGTTCATATGGGTATATTAGCAAGAGTTGTAAAGAGATCAGAGAATGACTGAAAAGGTGATATAAAGTTTAGAATTACTCACAAGCCTCTTTATCAGTTACACTTACCTTGTATTGGCAGTCATCGTCCATTTTATCAGATCCACTTACCATATAGGTGCACTTTGTAGTTCTACAATTACAGACTAAAGTCCATCTGTTTCTCTGCATATTTATTAGCCCCCATTTTTAGGTATTATTTGGGTAGTGGATCATTCACAACACTCCAGTGACACTGACATGGTAGTGACTTGTTAGTAGTGACTCGTTGCACAAAGTAGATCAGACACAGCAGTGCTGCTGGAGTTTTTAAACAACTTACTTACGGTCCCTGCTGGTCTGAGAATAGTCCACCAACTAAAGATATCCAGACAACAACATCCTGTCCAGAAACTGACCACTGATCAAGAACTAGATGATGACCAAACAGTGCAGCAACAGATGAGCTATATAACCACATCTAAAAGATGGACCAACAATGTAGGTGTACCTAATGGAGTGGACAGTAAGTGAACATAGTGTTTAAAATTTCCAGCTGCACTGCAGTGTCTGATCCACTCGCACCAACGCAGCACATCACCACCACGTCAGTGTCACTGCAGTGCTGAGAATGATCCACCACCCAAATAATACCTGCTCTGTGGTGGTCCTGTGTGACAAGAAGAGCTGACAAATTATGCAGAGTAACAGAGGGACCACAATCTGTAATTGTAGAACTACAAAGTGCACCTACATGTTAAGTATTTCTTAAAAAACTGGCAATGAGCATAGATACAAAGCACCTAATAAAGTGGCCAGTGAAAGTGTAGTATAAACATTTCTTACAAATGATATGAAAAGAAATATTTTTAGGTGATTAATACACACTAAAAGAAAGTGACCTCATTAAACATGTAAGCTCACACAACTCCACACAAGCACACACAGATGTTATCTTTATGCAAAAAATGATTCACAAGGATATACCTTCATAAGAAACAATACAATGAAGCAATTATGAACGGGTCTTGTTCATTTAAGGCTTTGGACTTTGGAGAAACCAAGATTCAAAGTGAAGTCAAAAATGTTTAGCTTTCATTTACAACTCAACTTGAAAAGTGCAGAGGTGAGCAAAACTTTGGGTTTGATTATAGTATCTCACCACACATACAGTCATATCAGATGTCACTCTATGATAAAGAGGAAGCCATCAGGAAACCATGTAAGCGACACTTCCTGTCTGTTGCCTTGGAGACAAGCCTAATTCCGCAGTTGCCCTCACTCTCCATGCTCTGCTGCTCTCTTTCCGAAGCACAGCATAATCCTTATCTCAGAGCAGAGCGCTGATCTACAATCATTTTCCTGCCTGCTCTGATCTTAGTTAAGAATATTACTAAAACTGGACAGTTCGCAAAGTTTTTTAAGCTCTAAATGAACATTTGGATTATGAAAATCTTACATTGAGACTTTTTAATGAATATGACTATTTCTACAAAGTTATCCTAGATTGAACTGGTCAAATGTTCACTATTACACAGCAATGCCTAAATCACATAGTTAGCTAGTTATGTAGAACTAAGTTGACCACAGAGTCTGTAAGCAATCACTGGCTAATGACCAGAACCAGATGTATAGAGGCCTTTTATAGAGATTGGCTTTGGTCCAGATGGTTGCAATTCAGATGAGAAACAGATAAGCAGTCATCTTTGGACTTCATGTCAGAGGCATAATACTATATACCATGAGCATGTAATAAAGCCAACATTATTTTTTCCATAAAAACGCTAAAAGTAGACATGTATGCTACAAGAAACAAATGGCAGCAATTTATTGCACATATTGCATTGTGAGCTGCAGAATGATCTTCATTCAGCATACAAATAACCGATTTAACCATTCAGTTCTAAGCAGTTCCCAGTTTCAAGAACAGGTTGCATAAGTGCAGCAGTGTTGTTCATTAACCGCGTTTGGCAACATAGTACCCACCAGTGCCATTCAGTTTAGTGATCAATGAAAATGTTTGTGTCCTAGACTTTTCATGAACAAAGAAATATGAATTGTGGTGTGCTTTGGAGGCTGAAAAAAATGACAATGATAAATTAATAAAATTATAATAAATAAAAGCCTGTAAAAAAAAAGGGCTGTAAGTTTTGCACCACCATGTGTGGAAGACTGCAGTAAGAAAGAGTCATGTCAAATGCTGGAATGACCCTCTATTAACATTTATATCATTCCATTTGTTGATTTATGTCTCCTGTTTGCAAATTCACTGTTTAACACATGCTGTCTCACTCGTCTGCCAAAAGAGTCAGTGTGAACGTGAATCAGATCGCAACAGTGCCATTGACTATGGCCACATTCCAGTAATAGTGGCCACAAAAAAGAGTAAAGCCCTCCCTTTTCAATGGCCTGCATCAGTGGATTACTGCTAAATTCTTTACAGAGGTTTCACTTGTTAGGACATGCTGGGGCAAAGTCAGCAGCTAACAGAGTGAGAGAGAGAGAAGGGTGGAGAGAGTGTGTATGTGTGTGTTCGTGTGGTGAGGGTGAGAGAGAGAGAGAGAAAGAGAGAGAGAGACATGCACACTTAGGGGTGTGTCTTAGACAATTAGTTCCTCAAGGAAGTACAAGTCAAATTATCTTGAAACAGAGTGGCGAGCAGATCAGAGAGTTTGTCTGAAAGATTTCATGCTGTTCCCGCCTTGTCTGAAGAGAACATTTCACCTAAAAAGAAAATCTGGATGTTAATCACCTGATCTGAGCACAGGAGGAGGACCGAGACTTAACAGAGAGGAGGGAGGGCAAAGAAAAACGCAGGTAAGAACACTCTACACTCTGCTACTGACCTATGGCCTCTCCAAAGAAGGCTCAAACAGCAAAGTGCAGGTCCAGAGACAGCTGTGGCATTAGTGAGAGCTCATTTTAGGTCTCTCACACTGACATGTGTGGATGTCAGTGTATTTAACATGCATTTGGTCTTTCTGAGGGATTCTGAGGAATAATTTTAGAATACCATTAGAAAATCTAATAGAAAGGAAAAATGTATTTATGTAACTTCTGTTCCCCTAAATGTAAATGAGAAAACTAGTTCTTTTTGTCAGCAGGGCAGGGCAGTAGGCTTATACAAATTTTTTTCTCTTGTGTCCACCTCCCTCTGTCACAAGCAATTTGGAGGGAACACATCCTGTGCTCAAGCTGGAACAGGTACTATCTTCTGCCTCTTCTGCTATGGCTTCAGCAGAAAAGACAGATCCATATGCCGCCATTTGCTTATTGCACAATCACATTTTTAACACTGGAGTTTCCCCATCCAACACCGACCTAATTAGGTGAAGGTGTTTGCTGCTCTGTCTAACGTAGAATAGCCATAGCCTGAAATAACCTAAAGGGCCCCTCTAGCCTGCGAATTGACTCACTACCTTGTGAAATGTGTTGAAGAAAAAAAAACTGGTTGGTAACTTTTTACCGCTGCCTAACAGATCAGTTTCACTTCCTTTATGAACAACCATGTACATTCCTCAGTCATCTTACGAAAAACAACCACCGCTCTGAGCTGGACCTGAAACAATATGACACACGCACACATGGAGTGTGCTCACCGTGGCGGAGGGCAAACATTCCACATGCTGCCAATGTGTGCTGTCACTTTTACTCACCTGAAAAAAAACACAATCAATAAAGCAGTGAGAAAAGAGGAATGTGTGGCCTTCCTCACTCTTTGCACACATTTGAAAAATAATGGTGCAAATAGTGCCACAGAAGAACCACTTTCAGTTCCTAAGTCTTTCAGTGGATGGTTCTTTATAGTACCATTTTTGCAAGTGAAACACGTTTGAAGAATCTCCACACAATGTAAAGTTTCTATACAAGTTTAAGATTTTTCCTAGAACTGTATGTTCGAGAAAAGAACCGTTTAAGAACTTTCATTCTTGTGGGGCTGTCACTCATCTGTATACAAGTACACATTCCATTCCGTTCTGTCAAACCAGCCATTGTAAAACACTTGGCAGCTAGAAGCTCCAGAGAGATGGCTAGAGTGCTAGCACCCAGTTGCCGACAGCCTGCAGCAGGTTATGGCCTGTCCCTCCACTGCTGTCAGTAGGGCCGCCTCTGTGGCCTGCTGCTTTGTAATGACAGGGTTAGTGCTTCTGCCTCCTGCTCGAAACACACTGGGACAATAGGACTCCTCTCATCCTATAAAAGCACCAGGCTTTGCCTCTGCTAACGCACACATACAGCCTCAGGCTACTTGCTGCAGTCATCTTTGGAATGCTAAATATTTACCTTGTCTGTGGATAATTCTCCAATCAGATCTTTCCATAAGTTGTCAGTGTGGGTCAGGTTCCCTGCTAACACTTGGCAATAACTGATTTAGGAATGCCTGGCCATGGGACATAGAGACTGTAAAATCCAAAACTTTTCTTGACCCTAAACCAACAGCATTTGTTAAAGCCAACCAACAAGTTCACCAGAGGACTTTGCAGCAAAACTAAACACATTCTCATCTGGTGGTACAGTGCAGACTGTGCACATTTTCAGTTCGGTTTATTTGACAATGTATGTGAAAATGATGTTACACTCAGCACAAGGCTAATCATGCAACACCTGCATGGAACTGGAGAAGAACAGTTATTAAGCTGTTCCACCTCCATGCTCCACATTGGGGCTTCAAGGGTGGGCTGACTCAGTTTTTCCAATTCAATATTTAACTTGAAATGAAAGATGATACTGAGTTAGAATGAATCCTTCACATACTAAAAATGAGAGATGATAAGAGCATCAGATGTGACGTCATCATTGGCACAATTGAGTTTATTGTCATCATTCTCTGGCCATCTCTCTGGAGCTTCTTTATTTAGTCTCATGTTTGCTTAGGCAGTTACGTACAGCAGCGTTCTTTATTTAGTCTCAAGCACACATTTGTTCACAATGAGAATGTGCCCTATTTACAATAAATGAGCAAAGAGCCTATCATCACTGTCCAAAGAAAAACATGTATCTCCAGTATAACGTCTTAGCTGTAATGTAACGTAATGTTAAGTGATTTCTATTGGTCAGTTCTTCATGAAATTCTCACACCATCTAGGACAGTGGGTGTGCTGAAATGTACAAAAAAAAAATTAAAAAAATGGAGATACATGTTTTTTTTTTGGACAGCGACAATATAGTTCTCTTCTGTAAAATTAAATAATAATAGTCATTAGCCCAAAGTGCAATAGAAGAGCATGAAGACCAGTCCAGAGTTCTCTGTAATTCTTTTTCTCCTGCCATGGAGAGCTGCTTGATGCTCTCGGACCTCTGACGATCCCATGTTACTACACAGTCTTAAGAGCATGTGGATACTTGCATGAGCTATGCAGTCAGCTTTCCTTTCGTACTTGTCTTTGCATGCTCTCTCAATTGCACAAACTGAAAACAGCTTGACAAGAAGTTTAGCCTGCTCACATCTTCCTTTCTCAAAGATCTGTTACTGTACTCCATGACAGTCTGAGTCTGACCCAGGAATAAAGTCTATGTGTATGTAGCTGTACCTAATATCACTGACACACCACTGTTTTGATATTTAGTGAAAAGATAAAATAACTGTTTGAGAGCGAGATAGTAAATAGTACCTGAAAAAAACAGAGACATGAGAAAGTATCTGACAATGACAAAGTCTTTAGTTTTGTTTACATGATATTTTGGCACTGATGAAATCCTTTAGGGTGAGATTTTCCCCTAGCACTTGGTTTTCACAACGAGGCCCTAAGGGGGCATCCCCAAGAGTCGAAAATCTCAGTAACACAGTAAACAAACACAGAAAAGAAACTGCGGATGTGCCATTACAGAGTACATACATAAAGAACAAACTGTCATTTGTTCACTTAAATGTCATGTTAATTAAGTTGCCTCAAACGTTATATTCAGTGTCCACAATGTGAGGGTTTGAACAACACTGGTCAAACGACATGTTTTGTTGATTTTTTTTAAGGGAAATTAAGTAAACCCATCCTCTATATTTTAAGGCAAAAGTTGTGCAAAAAAGGCCTGTGCAAAAGTTATGGCACATTTTAAATTTTGTTTTATTTTTCCAATATGTTAAACTCAGGAAATAAATATAAATTGCGCACTAAAATATGCAGACACTTGTCATATTTCAGGTTGTCAACTGTAGAGGATGGGTTAACTGTGTGAATTGTGCAATAATACGAAGTTTCCTTGAGGAGAAGTTTGGGAATAGTTACATGAACACACTGACATTAAAACATTGACATTAGATCACAACTTATTAAATTAATGTTACTTGTATTTATTTTAATATTAGCATTTTTGGAGCAAATAAATAGCTACTTCCTATATAAACTAGACATAAAATGGAATTTTCTCAGGTATCTCAGACTTTTGCACAGTACTGTATATTACGCAATCTCATTTTTATTTTTACAGTCCTCGTTGTAGTCTTATCTTGTGCAGCAATTTTTATATGTTGTTAATGCCGTTTTGTTGAGCCATCCATATCCGAAATATGATATAGACATAATTAAAAATAGAAAGAATATAACTGACATCCCATGTGATTTGATTCTCCATTTCAAACCAGTTTGCTAACTTGTTCTTCTCTCACTTCCTTTTTCTAAAGAAATGGAGAACTTCAGCTCCAAGGACTTGGCTATGAAGGCCCAGAAAAAAATTCTCAGCAACATGGCCAACAAGTCAGTAGTGCAGATGTTCATCGATGACACTAGTAGCGAGATTCTGGACGAGCTGTATCGTGTGTCAAAGGAGTTCACGGGGAGCCGCACAGAGGCCCAGAAAGTGATTAAGGACCTGATTAAAGTGGTAGTGAAGATTGCTGTGCTTTTCAGACACAATCGCTTCAGTGAGGAGGAGCTCTCTTTAGCCCAGACCTTCAAGAAGAAACTACACCAAGGAGCCATGACAGCAATCAGCTTCCATGAGGTAGCTTCCACCTTCCCTTCCGCTGATACTGGCAGCATTTCGTCTCATCACAGAGCCTAAACTTAACTTGCCTTTGTATTTTTCTAAAATAAAGAAAAATGTGATGCCTATTTAAGGAGAACACCATCACTTTATTATCTAAATGGCCCAAATGGGCCCATTAGATCCTAAGAAATCCATCTTCATTCCTAAAGACACTTTCAAAACATATAAGGTGTGCTAAAATACCACAAATACCATAAAGCCTGCTTCAGAAACATTCCCAAGAAACACCCAACGATGTACATGGCAAGCTTACTAGCATCACACGTAAATGTAAAACCAGCTGGCTAGTACCATTCAAAACATATTTAAGTGGGAACCTGATTTAAAGACATAAAATTGGCTGACGGGACACATTCTTAATATGCTTTTTTCATTCTCATAGCATCATAGACAGTTTCAAGGTCCTTATTAACATTAGCCACAATACTCCTAATGACTTTCAGGTATGCCTGTTCTATACCAATACCTAATACGCTCCCATATCTTTTACAGCCAATTTGTAATTGTAATCCACATATTTCTGGCACCACTGAAGTGAGTTGACTGATAGTACAGAATTTTGCAACCTGTGTAATCTGTCATGTCAGCCTTTAATGGTCTCTTTCATGGGTGACTTGGCTTTGACCAAAAGGCAGGTATTAGCTGGATGTTTATACAGTTATAAAAGTATTTATAAATACTGTCTAACCGAACATTTGCAAATATAGCCAAAGCATAAAGCTGTTAATAGTACTCCTCCCTTTCCCAGGCACGGCCGCTTAATGTCATGCCAAAAGATGGACTTGTGCCTGAGGGTTTAGTATATGAGCAATTTAAAGGAAAAAATAGGCTGTTTATTTATGTATTTTTAAATTTCTGCTCTTGATCTCATTTTGTATGGCACAAACCTAAATCAGATGCTCTACATCACATGCTTTACATTTGTCCATATATTAGATACTGCATACATAAAATATATAAACCACACCTGCCCTGTTTTCAGAGCAGGTAATTCATAGAAGACCACAGTACAGTTGTGCACATTAAAGAGAACTAACACCTGAGCACAACAGCTGTCCCAAATATGTGTGGTTTGCAACATACAATTGACTGTAAAGTGTATGTTGGGCTTTAAGGGCACAGCTATACATTAAGGTATCAAAATAAAGTAGCTACAGAGAATACAAAGAAAAGCCAAAAGAAAGCCACAAAGAATAGTAGTTCTGATCTATTTGTTTAACATGTTGGTAAGGTTGGTAAAGTTTTTTTCTCTGTTCCTGCATGAGCTTCTTGTCAGCTGAACCACAAAAAGGAAGCATGTGAGCTGCCAATGCTAACAGAAATCTTCCTGCACTAAAAAAAAGAAAAGTCCATTTAGAAAATGCAAAGATGATAGATCATGGTTATACTTTCTGCAGAACAGCAGAAAGCCAGGACTTCAATTCAGGTGCTGATACTATGGAGCTTTCTAATGAAGCATGATGCAGTAATATTTTAAATGATGAATAGCTCAACTAGAATAACCCTGGTCAAATGACATGTTTTGTTGATTATCTAAGTGAAAATACAATAAACCATCCTCTACAGTGAAACAATTTCTATTTGTTTGCTGAGATTGACATATTGGGGAAAAAATGATAAACATGTGCTTTATATTTTCCACAGGCTAAATGTTTTGTTTTTAATTTTTCCCCAGTATATTAAATACAACAGAAAATAAGTAATTGTACATTACAATGTGCATAAGTGTGTTCTGTGTAGAAGATGTGTATTTATTTTCACTTCAAAAATCAACAAAACATGTCATTTGACCAGGGGTGAAAGTGAAAACATACATTTTAATACATTTTCTTATATAAAAGAAGTAAAGGATGCACATATGTTCTTTTATTAGTAAAATAACTGAAATGTTCTGTAGGCTGCTGAATGGTATCCAGTGTTCACATACAAAGATTTTGAACTGATGTGTTTTGCCATTCGAATACTTTTCGTCTAGTGTATGATGAAAACCATTGTTTCACATGTTCTAATATTTCTCTATTAATATAGAGTATTATTTTCCACTGTTAATGCGGTATGCTGTTTTAGGTGGTTTTCTATTTGCAGCAAATCAAGAAGTGAAACTTGAAAAAGCCAGTAATTAGCATAATTAGATTCAAACCCCAGATTTAATTCTGCATACACTTGTCTAAAATCTGTAGCTCTCTCTGTCATATTCTGATCAGTCATTGCATTTCTTGGCAGACATCTAGAAACATTCTGAATAATTTCTAACAGTGGCAAATAAATAGAACTACATGATGCAATTTGATGCAGTTTGTTCCTCAGGGCCCCCCAGAGGGTGCACATTTTTGCTCCAACTAGATGAAGGAAACTGTGAAATGTCTGGGGGCCCTTAGACCAGGATGGGAACCACTGGTCTAAATTTCAAAACATATAAGAAGTCATATTCGCAATATATAATTTTATAATAAACTGCTTAGTATAATGTTACAACATGTGGGTGGGGGTTTATATGGTTATTATTGGAGCTAGCCCTCCCCTGAGCACTGTTTTTAGTCTAGGACTATGCTTGTGTGAGGCCTTCATGCATTAAAATGCTCAGTGTTTGCTTCAAACTAGATCATTTACAAAGATGTTCTCTATATATCATTCTTCTCTGCTTCAGGTGGAGTTCACCTTTGAACAGACGGTGATGTCAGAGATCCTAACTGCATGCAGAGACATGCTACTGAAGCTCGTGGCCACTCACCTCACGCCAAAATCCCACGGACGCATCAACCACGTCTTCAACCATTACTCTGACCCTGGGCTCCTCACTCAGCTTTACAATCCAGATGGCCCATTCAAGTCCAATCTCAACAAAATATGTAACGGACTCAACAAACTGTTGGAGGAGGGCAAGTTATGAGAGCACTGTGGCAGTGGGACTCTTAACAGTATTGCTTTAAAGGGACCACCAAAGTGCTGGACTACAGCAAAGCTAGACGAGAAACCTAAACATTGAACACATGGTGACTAACTCTGCTGACAATCTCTGGTCCTGTTACAGCTCAACACTGTGGTGTGGCTCTTCCACGAAAATCACATTTCATGTCCTTGCTGACAGCACAAGGTCAACTGGATCAACGTTACTTTTTGAACTTAAACCAGTGACAATGAAATCAACTAAAACATTTTATTTGGTGTGGCGAGTTGTTAAACAGAGCTCTTACAGACTAAAAACGTTTGCTAATATTTCAACTACTAGATTTTCAGTCTGTTTTTGATGATAAACCTTTTCTTTCAAGGTTATCTTATTTGAAATGTTTTGTGAACATTATTCAAGAGGCAGTCTGAGTGCAGAAAGAAAACAACTTGTTTTAAATTAGCAAAACAACCCTAAATGAAAATTAATAATTCAGAAGAACGGCCAGCAGCGAATAGTCTGAAGGAGGGTGTTTCAGCATGAATTGCCCTCAACAGACACAGAGCTCAGAACCCAAAAGTTAACAATTAATATGATTAACACTTTAAAACTGGAATGCAGCTGCAATCTTTTTTGTACCAACAGAGAAAAAAAAAGTTTGTTTGTAAAATTATGCATCTGAAAGATGTAATCAGCTGGAATCTATGAGAACATACCATACATGTAAGAGAAAATGGCAAAATGCAAATCAGTTTCAGACAACTTTAACTCATCACTGCCACCTAGTGTTCATTTGCAGTCAAGTCACTGTCTGACAAAGATGCACTGTTTCCAGAAGAATGTCCTTGCACTAAAAATCACATATGATTTAGTTGCTAATGAGTTTAGATCCTAATGTCAGATAGTGGTAAATCATACCCATAGACTACTTGGTGAGACAAGATAGGCAAATACCTTTTGAATAAGTTTAAGATAAAGTGCTTGTTTAGACTGTTTTCAGTTATGAGAGCCAAAAGAACATGAATTACCCTTAAATAACTGGCAGAAGCCAACAGTTATGATTAATATGAATGAATGGATAATAAAAAAAACAGCACTTTCTGTTTCTCAATAACCACACTGTGGTGCTAATTCCATGAATTCAGTAACACAACTGAACTTTTGTTTATTTCAGTCATAGAAATTCCTGAAACTAAACCTTGTGCCTTGCATTTCATGGATTTATGTGGATCTTCAATGCATATTCTCTCTAAATTTAGTCCTAAAGCTTTGCAGCAAAACTACTTAACTTCTCTAATGTACTACATATTCTTCCCTCAGAAACCATCATTTTAAAACGTGTGCATTACAATACTCACAAACAAAATCAGCTGTTTTTGTGCACAACACTGCATTTATTCATCATCAACTGTTCATTTGTGTCTGTGTTGTACGTACTATTACATTTTCACATTTGTGTATGGCAATACATTGTTAAAAATGTAAGCTCAGCACACACGCACATCACAATGTATTCATCTTGAGAAATTCCCTTTGGCAGTGAATGGGTCATCAGCCAGTACAAAAACCTGTCACTCTGACTCCACTTGTGGAGGAGGCACTGCTGTTCATGAACATTCTCACTGAATTCCAGAGCTTACACATACAAAACAGTCAAGTCTGTATTGGCCACACCTTTTTAAACTTACGTGCCTGCTAAACAGCAAGCACCAAATAAATAGAACACCACATGCGAAAGCAACAGGAAACTTGTAAACTATATGCAAGTTGATTGCCAAGCAGTAATAACCAGTCTGTCAATTCCCTGCAAAAATAAAATAAAATAAAATAAAATAGTTAGTGTATTCACTGCTAATTCATAATTACAGAGATGGCAAGAGCATTGGAGATATGGAAGGTCTGATTAGAAATGTTGACAACAGTGGGGTATTTCACAAAGCTGGATTTCTCAGTGAGCTGAGAATGCTCTTTACCCATTTTCCCATTAGACAGCTAACATTTTTTGGCTTAAATTTAGCTAAATGAGAAATCCTGCTTTGTCAAATACTCCCCTGGCAGTCTAGCAGCTACGTGACCCAAAAAAAAGCACATAACAATAGGGAACAGAACAGTAAACGTGCTTAGGGAATAAAGGTAGATTTAAGATGTTTTCCTTAACCTTTGAATTTTAACCCCATTCACATATCAATGTAGTGTTTACAGTGAAAGGTTGTGTGTCAACAGTGCATTTAAACCCACAAAATCAGTTCACGCAAAATAATGTTGCCTTGTAAGTATAGCCTTATTTTATGTTCGTTATGAAATCAGATACATTTTTGTGAGGTACAGGTTCTGATGGCCAAATCCGAAGATAAAAGGGAAAAAAGGGACATTGAGAATAGAGGGGAGCGAATAGAAAAAAAGAAGTAGTACTGGTGTACAGTACGTACTGTAATGCAGCCAATAGCAGGCAACAGGCCAGAGTGCCAAGACAGCATGACCTAAGGCCACAGTGGCACATTCAGTACAGTATCAGTGCACATCATTTCCACAACACAACCAATCAGCCATCAAGTGCATAGATCCTGGTAGTCCAGACATTCAACATACAGCACCATTTCAGCAATATTTCAGAAGGCATGAAATTAGACATCCTCAAATCATCCACCCTCCTGCATAATCAAAAATAGGACACAAACCAGACAACTGTACTAAACTGCCAGTGTCAGAGCTGAAAGATCTCATCCTCTCTGTCCCTCAGTTTCTTGGTACGTTTGGTGATGGTGAGAGGCACAGCCCCCAGCACGGCCTGCTGACCCTGGGAAAAGACACTTGAGCCTTGGGTGCTGTGACGGAGCTGTTCCGTTGAAGAAAACCTCAGAACAAAAGATTGAAAAAATTAAGCCAATGGCTGGTCATGTATGCTGTTGAATGCAAAAATTGCCAATAGTTAGCTTCCTGGGTTTGATTGATGGAGCAAGAGCTGCCAGTCATTGCACTAATTTTGGTATCAGCAAAGGAATTTGTAAAACTACTGGGCATCCTGAGATTTGTGGATGACATCAAACACAACTGCTTCACCCAGGCAAGATGCAGAAACATTACAGCAGGTAAATAATGTGTTAAACAAGAGGCACTGCAAATGGATGACAGTAAAATGCTGCAGATAATAAATATAAACAACAGTGAACAACATTTACTTACTGTTTATCTCCCTCTTGACATGTTTTTATGGCTGCTTGTTTTGACTGATCAATCAAACTATCCATCCTTTTAAAATAGTCCGATGGAGAAAGATCTGATGGCACTTCTTGACTTTCAGAGTCTGTTTGGCCATTCCCAGCAGGAACCTGATGCTGTGAAATACGCTCTTCTTGATTTGACACTTCTTGCAGTAACTCATTCTCATTAGTAAACGACAGGGACTCTGTCAGCACAGGGATGGAGAGGAACTTCTTCAGGAATATTGAATCGTTGGTATACAGTCTGTTTGCCCGTTTGATTTGCTCCATCTGCAAGAAGTAAAGAACTGGTTATGTAGATAAGCTGAGGGTCAAGAGCAATAACCTAATAAGCTATGTTCATGCTCTAACTATATAGAGCACCTCTAAAATTCTTACTTACAGACACGCCATATTTCAGTGACAATCCTTGTAGAGTATCTCCGGGTTGAACTTGATGTTCAATTCGTTTTTGCCTGACTGGTGATAAGGAGGAAGTCACCAGACTCCCATAGGACTTTGTACGCTGCCCGCGAAGGAGCCCGTGTGCCCCAGTCAGGGACGATACTCGGTCCGAGGACATGGCGAGCTTTGTATATGACTGCTGACTCTCCAGCAGGCGGAAGATTATCCGTCTGAGTATGACGAATCTTAGCAAGTGAAACAACAGGATGGCTGCCACATACCGATTTCTATTGTATTGTAAAGTTAGCTGTCTAACTTACCTAGCTAGCCCAGCAAAAAGCGGGTAGTAGAACTACTTCACTGCCAAATATGAGACTAACGTTACTGACCAGCTAACGTTAGCTACAGTAGGTTAGATTTTAAGTCTTGCCGACACCTCACCCATCTAAACAGGGAAAAGTTACTAGCGTTAGCAACTATATCATTATCTTCATGACTTGTTGTACTACATTTCAGTTTAACAGATAACACTAGCCAGGGCTCTAACGTTAGTTAGCTTACTAGCCAAGGAACCGCAATGACAGTAAATTAAGTTAGTTAGAAGAGTACACAGTACTTGCATTAACCAGTGCATAACTACACACTGTAGCTAGCTAAGTAAATAAACAGCACATCGTACTGTTGCAGTTGTGTACAACACAATTTATATAACGCACTGACGAAACGGACGCTGTCTGTGTAGCAGGAAGCACACGAGCTAATAAGATAACGCTCCGTATCAGCTGCCTAACTTGTACAACATATCAACATAGCTTGGCGTGCGTAGCTTAGCTTAGCTAGCTAACGGGCACTGGTCTGTTTAACTCGTGTTAAACCTGATGAATAATTCGCTCCTTAAACGTCACCTGGGACGGGTCTCAACGTCTTTCAGATGTATTTCGGAAAGAGCATATAATAAGCAATACCAGCTAGCTATCTGATTGGTCAGGCTAAATAACAGTGTCGCTCATTTTAGTTTGTTGCGGTTGAGCGGACTAGCCATTAGCCTAATGCGCTCACTAAACTAATCTGGCGTTGCCATGGTTCCACCCTGCCAAAGTCCTTATAGGAAAGTCTGCCCACTCGACGGCCCGGTCAGTTACTTCCACTCATACAAGACCAGACTCCTATCTCTTTGAATAGGGAGAGACCTATAAACCCGAAACTACAACCCACATTAATGTTACACAAACATATTTGAAATGATTAAAGTCTGGCAAAAACAGCATAAACAGTTTATATCGTTTGGCTTTAACAACACACAAAAACACGCTTATTTTCTAGCTTGGTCTACCTAACGCGCGTGCGCATATCTCCACAACAAAGGGCGCTTTTCCTGCTTCCTTCTTAACCATCAAGCCGATTGGCTCTTTTTACAGAAGGGCGGGACTTTCCTCCTAAATAGACGCCATGATGTGTTCCCATTCGCTTAACAACCAGTGGCCGATCTCCCCTTTATACTATCTTTGTCTCTGCTTAGCAAGTTCCACAGTGCAAAAAGGAACTGCGGAGCCATCAGCATCTTAGCTAACGTTATTAAAAATGTCTTTCAAAAGGGAAGGTGATGATCAAAGTCAACTAAATGTCCTGAAGGTAATATATGATCTGATTAAATGCTGAGGAGAAGATATGATATATGTGTTGATATATTTGTCATTTAACATTAAGCAACTACTTTCACAGTTTTGTTGTGGCTGACGTTAGCTAGCTAACCTAACCCATTTAGCTGTCATACTCAGCAAAACCAAACCACAGAATTCAAACAGCTGATTTCAATGTGTTGTCCTTCTAGAAACGGCGTGTTGCGGATTTACTGTCCAACTTCATACCAGAGGACGAGGCAGTTCTGATGAAAAATGGAAGGTGGTGTAACGTTAATCTACAGATCTCGACGCTAGCTAGCATAGTGCATGTTAATGCTGCATGTTGATGTAAATTAAAAGTTAGTTTACAAGTCGTAAGTTGCGGGATAACTAGCCTTAATATCACCTTAAGTCCTTTGTTTCTTTGTTAAATTTTGTGTTAATATTTGCCTGGTGGCAGCAGGTTTTACCTTACTGGAGTACAGCCAGTATTGTATGGTAGCTACTTTTTGTAATCTTCAGAATCTCCAGTCCGTTTAGACGGGTGACTCACGTGTGAAAACTGTGTGCAATATTATAAACATTGTCTGGGTATGTAAGTTAAAGTTTACATAGAATTCACCAGAAAGTTCATCCCATCTAAATAAACTCCCTGGTTGTGGTCAACGCTGACAACGTTTGACAACAGCAAGCAACAGAAATATTTCTTCTGTTGTGCACATTTTTTTCAGAAGCCTGTGCCCAGCATGGCTTTAGATTATGAGGTTTACAAAAATAGTTTTATTGTGGATTATCCAACCATTTTAGAGTCCAGTGCTTTCAGGCAACTCTTGCTAAGTAAAAGCTATGCACATGTGACCTTATTATACCATCCCTATATATCTATGCATGTATGTGATAATCTGATTGCATCTACCTTTGGATTTTGTAGGTATAGCTGTTTAGTGTGTTCACATCGTCCTGTTTTTGACACGGTGGATATGCTGGCCATACACAGAAAGGGAAAGCGTCATCTTGAAGGTGAGATTCAAGATTGTTTTATCCAGCATTTTTGGCATTATTTATCAGAGAATTATTTATCAGAGAATTATATATCAGAGCGCTGTTAATTGCTGTTTCCAACCCTCTTGGGTTCTCCACTGTCCAGGTCTAAAATGGTTTTATGGCAGAAAAGCTCGAATACAAAATGAAACTGATAAGAGGCGACATCAAGATTATGTTAATAAAGAAGAAGACCAGCAGGTAAACAAATTGCATTTTCCATTTGCATATTGCCATTTCTGTTTTTGCCTTGTATATCATGTACAGTGTTGTTTGTCGTTGATGTCTGATGTTTATGAACATGAATATGTTCTCAGGAAGCTGGCTGCTCAGCACCATTGCTCACACAGACAAAAAAAATTACCCGCCATGCCTTACTAAGATCTGCTCCTTACAGCAGCTGTCATAAGAAGGCCAGGTAAAGCCTAGGTAGTTAACTTTCTGTTCTGACATCAGCAAATGTATTGCTATTGAATTCAGTAAGAAACTGTGTCATTTTGAAGTTGCTACAGAAGTGCCTGCATCAGGAATACACGTTTATTTCACATTATCCTATTTTATAAAATAGAATATTTCATCAGCGAGTTAACTTGCCCAGCTAAAAAATAGCCATTGCAGATTTATAATGCTGTGTATAAATGTTCTGAAAGCAACACTGCATTTGTATAATTTCTCTGTTTATGAGCATCTCTCTGTCATTATTTTAAGTGAAAGATCTGAGAACGTTACAATGGGATTCAGCCCACTGGTGAACAGCGACTGTGTCTCTCAGAGCTATATAACCACTGCCAAGAACAATATCCACACAGAAACCAAACCTGCTTATGGTGAAAGTAAGTCTGTTTTTTTCAGGGATGCATGAAATATTATTTTGTTGTAGTAGAGCATCACTTCTTTAGGTAATATTATTATTTTCCTCATATGTATTTGTTGTATGTGTTTGTTAGCAAATCCAAACCAGGGCCAGAATGGGAAACAAATGAAGAAAAAGGACCCCAAGAAGTCTGAGTCTGAGCCCTTGACAGAGCAGAGACGCAGAGAACTAGAACACTACCTTAAATTAAAGAGGTATGATATCGTTCGTCCATTATAGCATGTGGTTGTCAGCGTAACATAATGACCTACCATATACTATATAAAGGGTGTTTTATCAGCAAAGAGCCAGTGTTGATGCATGTTTTCATTCCAACACAGCAGGAGCACATATAATCAGTTCTTTGCACACTTAGACTTATTGATTAAACAAGTGGAATCAGGTGTGCTCCTGTTTGCGATAAAAACCTGCAACCATGCCAGCAGATATGATTGGTCCTATATTTAAGGCTATATTAATTAAGCCTTAATAGATATTCAAACTGTATATAGTATACAGAGTTTACTAAGTCCATCCATTTGGAATGAGACCTTATGGGCTGTTGTATCTCTCTGAACATGACGCCTTAGTAGCAGAATCAGAATTAAGCTGTCTCTTCTAAGGATTAGTGTTACCCTTTTTAACTGTTTTTCTGTTTCAGTGCCGGATGGCTACAGGACCCAAGTGGTAAATGGGTAAAGGATGAAAATGTGGAGTTTGATTCAGATGAGGAAGAACCACTCCCACTACTACCCTTTAGTGAAACTACATAGATTACACTGGGAAGGCACCTCTGGCAACTTCATGCTCTCTGCACTCCTCTCTGCTTCTTCAGAATAACCTCTCTACTGTGTTAAACTGTGCGCTCAGAAAACACAGGCCAAGAGAAGAGGGACTGCAGACCTAATTGCTGTTCAGTGAGGAAGTACATTTGTACTCCAAGATCTGTGTTGTTAACATGTGAAGGATGTGCCTTTTTGAAGAGGCTGTTTTATAGAATGGATTGCTTTGCAACAAAAGGGAAAAGGGATAATGTTTTCTCTAAACATGATGATGTCAGATAAGTCAGATTTATGTATTCTGCTGCATTTGTTTGTCTACAGCAGTAGACTCTTTGTTAGAGTATGTCCTTATACCATGAGAGATCACAGAGGTAGAACAGAATCAGATATGGAATTACAGCTTGTAAATCACAGCTCTGGGTCCTCTGCCAAATGCCACAGTGGGGTGTGTATATAGAGCCGCTGCTGCCCTCTAAGTTTAACCACGATGACCTGTTCGTTGTAAGAAACAAAATACACGGTGTGTCAGTTAACTAGTAACTAAGTAGTTATTTCGCAGAAGTTTAGCTCACGGGCATTATGTATTTAGAGGAAGGTATTGCTGTGTATATAGACACAGATCTCAAGAAAAAATGTCTTGAGAGGTTAGCAGCTGTTCTAAAGATGGAACCTAAGTCTTCTGTAAACTCCCCCTTCCCTCCTGACCTGGTGAAGAGATATATTTGGTGCTCTGTAACTCAATCCCTTGGGAGTGGCTTTCAGATCTCATAGTCTGTAGGTATAAATAGTCAGGTGGCAGAGGATCAGGGAGAGCTGTGGTGGGGAATTGAATAGTTCCGACTGGGCTGAGCTCAAAGGGCTCAACGGTAACAAGCTCTTCACAATGAACTCCTCACACAATAGTTCATCACTATGAACAGAGCAGAGAGAGGGAAGCTGTACTACGTCATGTTTGAATTAAAATCTCAGTTTTGTAACTTTTGTTAATAAATGCATGGATTTCTGATCTGCTTATAGCAGCATTCTGACTATTGCTGCTAGGCAGCAAATCCATCTAGGAGGATAAACGGACTGGTCGATATGTAAATGTCCTACATTTCTAAGAATAAATAAATGTGTTTTCACATTGCTTATTAGTTATTTGTCATAAATTATGTACATACCGGTGTGCCATCATATGAATAAAGGACATTATACATAGTGTAATGATTAGTGATTGATATAATGTTGTTTTGTTTTCTAATTTGCAGCTTGCCTACCTTGTAAAGCTAATGCAGAATACTAGTAATCAAATTCAGATGATCAGATTGGTTTTTTGGATTGTTTGGAGCAGGTCAGCGACGGGCACACCACTTTGTAAACTCAGTTTAACAAAACTGAAGACAATGAAGAAGATAACGTTTTATTTAAAATATGTACAGAACTTGTTTTTTGTTAGAAGCACCATCTCGCAAAATCCATGACTCAAGATATGATCAAATAGTGTCTTTTTACAAGTTTACAAACTCAGATAAATTGAAGGCACATTATCTTTATTAAGTCAGAAATCATTTGGCTTGATGAAATCCAGTGTCTACAAAAATAAGTGCAGGGCTGGAGTCAATGATATCCACAATGAGAGGTGGTGAATGGTTAAGGCACAATTTCGACTGTCATGAATGCTCCAAAGGAGACCATCACAGCCTTTGACTCAGCTTACCCTCTGCTGGCGGACTGGATATGGAAAAACATAATAAAGGATACATAACATTTTCAAGCAGTACATATTTTTTATTTAACTACTTGCTTAAAAAAGGCTTCATTTTTCATTTACATGAGTAGAATCAATTTGGTATTATGATAATACTGTAGAAAACATCATGAGAATTGGCGAAAAAATGAATAATCCAGTTTTCAGAATACTAATCATACTCACAGTAGTCGTTGTTTCTGGTGATGGCTATAGCTGCTCTAGCACGAGGGCCCTGCTGGGTGAAATGGTAGCCTATCTTCAGGATGCTGGGATTGTTCTCCAACATAGAAGCAATTTCCATCTCCACTGAGTCTCCCAGCTTCTGTCTCTATATGAGTACAATGAGGATTAAAATGTTTAAGTAACACAACCAAGAATGTGCATTCTGTGCTGTAATGAGCATTGTACTACAGATCAACATAAGGTTATAAAGACACTGTGCACAGCAATGATTTAAAAAGTGTTTCAGTGATTCACCTGGTTGTCAATCTTGATTTCAGCAAGGGTGGAGTTTTCAGACAGGGCTTTAATGATGGCCATCATTCCTTCTGCAGTGATGAAGTTAGACTCGATGTTCAGGCTCTGCAGTGTGGTATTCTCTGTTAACATCTCTGCTATAGCCTGATCAGTAGAAGAAGAATGAATTTCAGTTTCAGAAATTTGTCCAATCTTTCTGTTTTGCTCTTTTCTGAATGCATTTCAATAGATCATGTTGTGATTTTACTTCTCTAATTGTCCAAATGGGCAATGAGGAGACAAACCTTGCAAGACTTGGTTGGTGAAAGCCATGTCTATGTATGTATTAGGAATGTTACCTAACAGTACTCACATGAGCCACAGGATCGTTACTGCGTGTAGCAACAATGCTCAGGCTCAGTACATGAGTGTTTCTCTTCATAGCATGGAAGATCTCTTTCAGAGTTGGGATGGGAATGTCCTACAGGATAAAACGAAAAAGCATTCTAGACCAAATATTTCCCAAAAAGACATTTTGTGAAGAGTTAATTAGAGTTTGGTTGAAGAAATAGCAAGTACACATCAACAGCTCAAAAATGGAATTAGTCTAACTAATAATAATAATAATAATAATAATAATAATAGCTGTGTCTTTAAGCTGCTAAGAGAAGGTGCCTAATGAATTTCTTGAAACAGGAGTTCCATAACTTCAAAGCATAAAAACAGGAAAAGCATCAGTAAGCAGTGTAACACCATTGTGTCTTTGGCTTTCAGATTACCGGGATGTTGTTGAGGTTGACCTCTGTCAGGCTGCTGTCATTCTTCTGGATTCTGCGCAGTGTGTCCTCAACATCAGTGTCATTGGGAGGCTCATCAGGGTAGATCTTATACGCATCAGGCTTCACCACACCTACAGAAACACAGACACCCTGGGTTATTATTGAGGAATGCTGAAGTTGTGAAATGATGCAATCTTAATAAATATCAAACAATGTGAGATAAGGACATACTGTTGATGCCTTCTGTATTGGCAATCCTGCCAAATGTATCCAGGGCATCATAGTACTGCTTGTTGCTCATTAGTGTGTACATTCCCAGGATAGCTGCAAAGACACACATAAAATATGTTAAAGTACAGGTTAGATTTCATTGGAGAAAAATCCATATTTGAAAGTCGAGGCGCAGATTGCTTGTAGTAAAATGTAATATACTTAATAATACTGTAAAAAAATGAAAAAGGACAAAGATTTCAGAACAAACACAGATGATTTTAGCTAAAGTTCAGTGAGCTCCAGTGATGAAAGGTAGGGCAGAGTGGCTGGCCACTGCCCATGTTACTGATCATCACCACCAGGTGTCAGTGTTTTGCAAAACAAAGTCTCTCATAAGCCTCCACAGAGAACTTGGGAGGAGAACAGACCACTGTCATCATGTCGTTATTCTGTAGTCGGCACCATGCTCTTATACCCATATAAGGAACTCCAGGTTTAAAAGGAGTTTCTCTATGAGAAGAATTTCGAGTTTTTGAAAGAGTTTTCGAAAAAGAAGCTGACTTCAGCTTCACGAAGAATTGAAGGCCATGATATGAGCAGGTTCCTCTATTTCTGCTTTCACAGCTGAGTAAAATTAACTTATTTTTGCTGTTTCACAGAACCAACAAGTCAGTATTGTTTTGTCCCATTTTCTAATGTTTGTCATAGCTAACCACAACCGCTGCACCATTTAAGGTGGAACGGAAAAACTTGAAAAAGAATCTAAAGTCAGCCTTGTAGTTTTAACACTGGAAGTAATTTTTGATAAGGAGTTTTAGGCTATTGAAATATCCTACTTAGAGGTTTTATTTACAGGCATGCCTATAAATATGCAACACTGTAGGACATTTCGATAAGGTATCATAACTCGCAAGAACACCGCCAAAGCCTACCTCACTTTGTGTAGCTTAGTGACATCAAATTGATGCGCAGTAGCTTTAGCTTGCATGTAGCAATATTAGTATTAAGGCTCTTTAACAACCTCATAATTCAGAGGATGCAGCGATATTTGGGAGAAAAATATACACAGAACAGATCATATCAGGTTCTGAACAGTGTTATTTACCACAGGGTGTGATAGAGGCAAATTTCAGAAAATCCCTTTCATTCTGGCCATAGAGAAATCAGGCTTAGACCCGGAGTTCCTAATATGGGAATAACACAGACTACAGAATGGCGCATGACTACAGTGGTCTATTACCACTCTGTAATGTCTTCCTGGTTTCTCAACCACTAGAGGGCGCTCCTGAGTGAGTGCAAAATAAATAGATGGAGCCTTTAAGCAAAATCATAGTTTATAAATGCTTAAACTTTTAAATATAAAATAATACATTTATTTCCTGAAAACAGAACTGCATAGAATATTTTTACATCACTGTTCTATTTTTAAGAGCTTTTGAACTTGAGTTATATGAGTTTAAAACAACGCCTCATGTGCATTCATGGATCAGTGTGTGCAAACAGCCAATGAGCTGCTCTGCTCGCAAACCAATCAGCACTCAGTAGCAACAATGCTAGCATCCTGCTGCCCAAAATCCATTTGTTGTAGAAAAAAGGAAACATACAGATAAGTTTTCTTTGTTTTTTGTGTGAAATACACCCTTCTACTTTCTAAAATTAAAGTCCTGAGCAAATGATCAGAAATTATTTCACCTTTTGATTTTTTGCTGTTTAGCTCCAGGCACCCTGGTTTTGATATAACGGGGGAAACAGGAAGAGGCCAGGCTCCTTATAAACCAGCTCTGGCCTCCAGCCCTGTTTAGAGAGGCTTCATCAGCTGGAAAGGCCTTTTTGGGTAGAGTGAGGGAGACAGAGGGACAGCTGCCTTTACAGTACGGCTTACGCTCACACAATAACAATGTTACGACCCTAACACTATTAAGAACAAAGATAACAAGACTGGCTGCGTTTTTATAAAAGCATGAGCATCCCCAGCTGGCTTAGTCGCGCGTCAACTTGGTCAACATGGATTTCAGTGACAAAAACACGAACGGAAGAATGATGGAACTGTAAAGGAGCTTTAATCCCAAACTGGATGCGATCCAGAGTTAAAACTGTATTCTCAATGAAGGGCTCTATCACGGTAATCTGCACCCAGCGAACCGCTCCAAAAAGTCACCCACCACCACACAGCTCAGAGACAGCCAGCCGTGCCAGCACATGATCTCCACACGATACTTGTCCTGCTGAAATATAGTGTTACTGTATCGGCTTTTGAAAGCGAGGCTACAAATATCAAGATAAAAGATTGCAAAGTGAAGAATTGTGAAAATTTTATTGTTGAAAATTTGAACACTCTCTGCAGCTTAAAGTATACAATGGTCAGTGTAAGGACACTTTCTGTTGTTTTTTCCATATAGTTTTATGAGAAAATAGATGTATTATAAATATAAGATAAAAACATTTCCCAAACCTGCCAGACGCCTCTTAAGCGACCCTCCTTCTCCAAACCCCTCCCCTCTCTTTCTGCGCTCATACTAACCCGGTGGCCCTTTGCCAGCTTATTTTGGTGAGTTGCTGAGCTATGGGAATCAGATACTGTGTGGTAGGGCCCCGGGGCAGGCACATCTGTAATGCATGGTGACACATATGGTGATACTCCAGTCCAGGACTACCATTTTTCACACATAAAAATACTTTTAAAAGTCATCCAAATATAAACAGGTGAAAAGTAGGCCATGGTGAAATGTTAGGATGTGTTCTCAAAAAACTGTGCTGTATATATGCGGATAGCAGTTGCTGTTATTGAGCAGGATTAATGTAGTGTTAGATCTTAGCCTGTTCAAAATGATCTGATTGCACTAGGGACGCTCATATTTTGCCATCTAGGTCCAGAGCAATTCACTATCTTTATTGGTGACTACATATTTTATGTTATCATGACGGATGAGGCTTTGAGTGAGAGACTAT